GTCTGCGCGACCAACACCTGCTGCGGCCGCCGCTGTGGCCTCGAAATCGCCAATAAGTCAACAACCGCGTTATGCTCAGTCCATTTCGATAATGTATTCGAGCTTAAAAAGTAAAAGTAAGCAAGCGATAAGGAAGATAAACCGACAAGTGTTTAAACAAACGTTTATGGACGGAAAAACCTATAATTTTGTAAATAGCTCGTTTCCGAGAGAGTTCAGCCGAAACTGCATAGTATATATTATAATAGTGAAAGACTCGACGAGCTCACAGTATCGTGAGAAAATTAAATTTAACTTTCCAAGCGCACGTGCTGGTGTCCTGCCTCAAAATGCGTCCGGGAGGAGAGAGAGAGGAAGACAAGAAGTTGAATGGGAAGTGCATGTGCGTACGTGCCGACGACAAGTGCGAGATGGATCCGGCCGTGAGTCTTTCCAGACGGGACGACGGCGGCGCGCGTGTTTACCCAACGAACCGGCATCTTCTCAATGAGATCTAAAGATAGACGACCCCATCCTCAGCCCCCACCTTCTCCGCCACTCACTCGGGTGCTTCTTTCATTCCGCCACGCTAGCGATGGTTTTCGTCTCTCAGGGATTCAAGATTCGACGTTTCGAAACAATATTATCATCATCGTTTTGGTCGGCTCTTTGATGTTTTAGTGGAAAAGCTAACATCTTCATATTGTATTTAAGGATCATACTATTTTGTTTTTTCAAGAAAGAAAATTTGTTTTTTCCTACTTCGTAACTATCTGTCATCATAAAAAATGTATTTACTGATTTATCGAAATGTAATAGTACATTACGTACGAGTTTGCAAAGGCTCCAATTTACGAATCGAGAGGTTTACGGCACGAGCCGATGGCGAGAAGCCTTTTCGAACGAGTTTCGTACACTATTTTTCCGCCTGAGAACCCAAAATCAAGCGGTGAAGGTGCTATTTTGAGGTTAGAAGGCAGAAAATAGATTTGCATCGTTGGAAACAGAGTTTTTTTTCTTCAGAATTTAGCATTCAACTGCAACTAAGATGTAACTTTACCCATTTACAGGTAATACATCATTTTGTAAAAAAGAATTACCTACAATAGATAAATAATTCATCAACATCGATTCGAGACTTAAGATCTGCAACAAAGGGAAATTCGTTAATGCTTAGCTCGAGCCATTAAGACGTAATAAATATGTATTTCGTTTCGTCACCATCTACTTTTTTCTAACCTCTGGTAAGTACATACGAATAATTTATTCATCAGCAGATTGAGTACTTGCTCATATTTAAATCCAAATTTATCAATAGCCAACCCTACTAAAATTTCTCAGGTGAGATCTCAGGTGATTTCTCATCTCAAAATCTTTTTTTGCACTTCAAGTCTTTTGGTAAACTTTTCCAGTAATTTTTTAAATAATTACAATGAAGTAATAGACGACATTTGTAATAATTTGCAACTTATTGCAAAACGCATGATCAATTGAATAGAAGGGAGAAAGAATAAGAGATCGACAAAAGGGACGTTATCGTACTACTTCCTAAAAAATAAACTTTCCAAAAAAACGTTGAATTGATAAAAAATAAAGATGTGTGTATTTTGATTAACAGACTCGTCATGAAAAAATTGCGGTGGAGGATAAAATAATTGTGCAAAACTGAAGGAAAAAAGAATTAATTTTTTTCCGAGAGATGATTAACATGGTGCGTTTTCTCTCCTTCCTTGGGCAAACGGATCTGCCGTACAAGTGGCCTTATCGTTTTACCGTCTCTTCCCGCGGGAATCCGTCTGTCCTTTTCCGTGACGTCGTTACGTACGCATCTTTACCACATCGTAAACTTTCTAACTGAGATTTTCCCCCAAGATATTCGAGAACCCAAGCTTACGCGCTAAAAATAGAATACCAAAAGTCCTTTGGGGGAAAAAATTCCGTGTCACCTTAACCACTCGCTTCCTCTTCGGAAACACGCGCTGGCTCGTCTCTCTTTAACGATTACGCCCGCCTTCCTTTTTTTTTCATCTCTATTTATGAGTGCAGCACTAGAATTTCGATGAAGATACCCGAGTTATTTTTAGCCTCAACTTTTGCATTTATCAACAACTCGAGCGCTCGCGTCATTTTGTATCTTTCTTTTTCTCTAATTGACCTGAAACGCACTAACTACATCTTATTTTCCTAAGGTTGAGCAAGAAAGATTTCTCGTTGATTTTTTTCAATTTTTTTTTTTTTTAACGATGACGTCTATTTACGTTACCAAGTATAATGTGTTATGTCAATGAAACATCGTATGATGTAATGACAAGGTTGTTATTATCATCGAGTGGAGGTACGAAAAAAAAAAAAAAAAAATTCAAGAACGAAGGTTATTATACGACTGACACTATTGGTGGACTGGCGTATAGAAATCAATTAGCTTCTCACGATCGGCAGCATTACACCCAAATTTCGCGTGAAAGTGTATCCAAAAATAGTTATATGGCCTACTCGACTCTTTTTTTCTTCACAAGTACATATGCATGCTAAACAACAGCAGCTTAGGTTCAGTAACATCCAACGTTTCTCTGGCGAGTGGACGTACTTACTTCCGTTTGGAGTGCGCTATTTATCATACACGAACTCGTATGGTCTGCTGCAAAGCACTATAGCCTCAAAAGGACCGAGACACGCGAAATACAAATAAAAAAAGTGGACGTATGTAGATATACGTAGCGAGGGTCGAATGGATTAGCATCAGAATTAACATGTAGTTGACAACGAAACGCATAGGAGAGTCTCTCCTTTCTTTTGGTGTACTAACAATCTCTACTCTTACGATGATATACTATTAGTGCTGTTTAGTGATGGTTATGGGCTATGGGAGTGGTCTAGTGGTTTGTACAAGGTAGATGTCTTTTCGCTGAAAAATATTGCGTCCACTGAGAATGGCACTCGCGTGTGGGTACTTATAAGTACAAGAAAAAGAGAGCAGAGAATATTGTTGTAGGCGTGTTGCACGTGCTTCATACCTGTAGCTATCTAACTATCTCTATAACATTTTCAGACGAATATTACGAAAGATCAATAGCTACTTTGTTCGCGAAAAATAAATCTGCCGCAATTCATACACGGAGATGGTTACTTTTTGATGAATAAATCGAGATAAAACCTCCTTTTGCGAACAAAATGCCCACTTTTGCTTGAGAAATCAAGATAAAAACGCCTCTCTTTCGTTGCTACGCTGAAACAAACTCTTGAAAAATTTTTTCTGAGCCCAGCGGTCATTTATCCGAAATGCAAGCATAACAGTCGTTGCTGAACCTTCACAATAATTGATCGAGATGCAGTTTTCCCGCAATTACTTTCTACAACCTTATAATTGTAAATTTATATTTAGTAATTAGAAAACAGCGTACTTTGAAAAGTTTAAAAAAATTACATATGCCAGGTGCACTTTGCGCACTCGATGATATTTTATAACGATAACAAATAGTAGATAGTCACACTTTGTTCTTTGATCATTCGTTTTTTCCGTTTCGTAGCAAGTTTATCTTGCTGAAAAAATATATACCGTGTCACATAATTAAGTTGTACATTGTTATCGTCATTTAAATTTTATATATATTCTACATTTTTATTCAAACATTAGAATAACTTAGTAAAGTTGTAATTTTTATTACTTTTGCAAAAACAAAGTTATTATCATGTGAATGCTATCGAGTAATCATAGTTAAATAATTTTTGATTAACTTTAAAGTTGGGGATTCATGGAGTCGTTAAAAAAATTTTCAAATATATGTACAGTAACAAAGAATTTTTGTTTGTATCGAATGTAATTTTCATTAAGATAGCTCAAAAGTAAAATGATTCTCAAAAGAAATGAAAAATTTTTAAAAATCGTTTATCATATTATAATGTACTCTCTCTCTCTCTCTCTCTCTCTCTCTCTCTCTCTCTCTCGAAACAATGGACCTGATCTTCGTAAAAATGAGTAAAAAATCTTGTTGGCAGTTGATTTTAAAATGGGCTACTGTAAAGATCGGTACTTTTCTTGAATAATTTCACAAAAAATTGATTGAACTGACTGGCAGAAATTTTGGGCAACAACACAACTGTTCTCCAAAATATGTGATCTGAAACCTAACATCAGAATTAACAAATAACAACTATTTTTACCAGTGTGGCTATTGAAATCGATCGATCGATTGAGCAAGCGAAAAGACTACTGCTTACTCACAGCCCGCAACTTCTGACGAAAATTAGCACCCGTCGGAGTTCTGGAGAAGAGTATTTCATGGCAGAGCTCGAACGACAAAAAAGGAAAATCCTTGGTATCAAAGGCCTTTGGCAGAGGCTGGAAGGTGCTTACAAGACGAATATTGATTTTGCACCCACACAAAAAAAAATCACGTTTCTTTGGGGAAAGCATCCGAAGTTAATCATACCCTCTTCACGAACATATCAGAACAATCGAGGCAGTAAGATACGTACGCTTGTACGGTAACACATGGATACGAAACATCATTGGATTTATCGCAGGACTGGCTATTTTTAATTAGAACCAAAAGAATTTCATGTATTCTTCAGTTTTACTTGACGTTTGTTTATGAATGGATATGGTACAGAGTGTGTCGGGCTTTTGTAATCCGGCGGTCAGTACCGAGCTCTCACGTCTCCACCTCTAGCGTGACGTATGCAAAAACATTATTACACGTAAACCATACCAATCTTTACCGATCTTCCAAGTAAGAGTCAAAGGTGAATGGATCACCCTTATACCCTAGCTGCCATCAAAGTTACGACTAAACTTACCGATCCAGTTATTGCAGCACAACCAGTGGTTGTGGGGGAGAAAGAAATTAGGAAAGCAAAGCATTAATAATTTTCATGCCTATGGGGTACGTACCCTGTAATAAATCGTGCTGCAACACCGGATACGCAGAGTAAATAAATCCTTCAATGACAGCTGCCACCTACCTACACGCAAGTTAAAGGCACACGGATGTAGAAATAGACTTGTATAGTGATACACTTACGTTACTCATGTGTGCAGAGTCCTGTTCTCTCTTTTTCCTCTGCTCATCCACAGCTCGTACAGAAATCTCTCGCCTCCTTCTCATACGCGAAGGACTAGCTCTGCTGACGTTTCACACCCTCCGTAAGTAATAACTGGGGTGCAACGATTGGCAGCAAAATAATACAAAACTTTTGATTCCACGGCTTAAATGACCTTGACGGGGTGGGTAAGCGTTATCGTTGCAACAGTAGTGCGTAAATAAATGCTTACAAGTTCACTGACTTTCCGTCTCGATGGTACTTTGGAGCTTTTTTATCCGTCCGAATGTAACAGTAGCACAAATTCGAAGTACAACACCGATGCAATCACAATCGTCGCTGATGTAGTCGCACACTCGCGGAGTCGAACGGTAACAACTATTGGCACACTGCGTCCTCCGCACTCTTACATAATTGTCACCGATCCAAGTGCTTGATGCTTAATAAGTAGGCACGTGCACGGGATGTACGAGTATCCAGTACCTGACTCCGAAAGGGGGAAATAAGGGAGCAACAGTACTTACGAGGTGCACAATGTGTACAAGACGAAGCCGAGCCGCAGCCTGGCCGAGGCCTGCACAATATATACTGTTGAGCCGTAGCACACACTGCACGTGTCCCCACCCCCCGGTGTGCCTATCGCGTCTGCACCGCGATTCTTGGAACAGGAGAGCTGCCACGCGAACACCTCTGGATGGTGCAATAACAAATAACTATAAACTTTTATTCGAATAGCACGCGATTTGTAGTTTCAGAGTGCAAGCAAATGCGGACAATTGCAAATACAGGATGACAATGCAATATATCGCCCGCAAGAGCACACGAAAAAATGAAAATAGCAGCCGCGGTCCTGGCAAACGAGTGTTAAGTCCAAAAAGTGAAAAACTCTCGACGTGACGTCTCGAAAATCGACACACACAACACAACTCTCGTAGAGGCTCGACGGACTGACATTAACTAGCGCGCCGCGCCAGCTTCGCTTATAATAACACGGCCGAGCGGTCCGCTAACCAATCAGCGCTCGCGCGCGCTCTCCAGTCTCTACTGCCGTGCGCCTACTACTCCTTCTTCCTAACCCCCTCCCTCTCTCGACGCTGAACTTCAGCTTCAGCATCGCAGCAGCAGCGGCGTGCAGCAACGTGGTGTGTTCACATGTATTCGGCTCGACTCTTCATCGCGACCACCATCGCGCCACTTTCCCATACATGTATACATGTATTTGTATTGCTCCTTTATTTATTTATTTTTTCCTTCTTTTTTCTCAAACTCTCTCGCTCTCTTTCTCAGGCATACGACGCAACGTGTGCGTACCCACTTGTAACTTGTCCTCTTCGTCATCGGGTTGTCGCCGCCACATCGTCTTCAAGGGTCGAAGATGCACTAAAAATAGATATGTATATGTAAGCGTGATCCTCGCTCTCGCGTCATTTGAACAAAATTCTGCTGAGCCGCACTGTTAAGTATACACTTGACGTCAATATTCCTTACAAACTGCAATTTGGCCCCTGCATGGTGACATGTTATTTAAAATTATTTTACTAATGATAAATTTTCATGGTGAAAAACGAGGTGAAAATCATTGTCGGCAAGGTTTTAATGTCCTTGCTCTTTTCTCCAGTGCGCGTAAATATATACATATTATTATTATTTCCGCCACCGACGTACTTGGGTATAGTGCACCTTTTTCTCCAGCAACAGAAAAAGACCCCCCGCGTCTTGCGTTCTCCCCCGGTGGCAGCCAATACATTACACACACTTTCTTGCAAGACTCCTTTTGCTCTCTCTCTCTCTTTTTGTCTCTCGTCGCCTCTTAGTTTCCTTTTCCGTCCTTTTCTCTCTCGCATCCTCCTCTTTTGTCTCTTCTTCGTTTTCTCGTAATCGCTCCTCTTCCCTGTAACATACATACGTAAAAGCGAGTTATAGTATAGGGTGGTGAATCGGTTTGCCGATATAGTGACGATTTTTCTGCACGCGCGCGCGTGCGCCGTCGATTGCCGGCATCCTTTGACGCACCCGGAGAGTTTTTTTTCTCCTCTCCTCTCGCTCCGTTCTTTGTCACTGTTTTTTTCTTCCTTTTTCACTTTCAAAGCAGAACGCGCTTTCCGGTTTATCGGTTCCTACGGGGTCACCAAAAAAGAGCCAGCTACGTGCCGCTTGGCCCGTCCGTTTACACGATCTTTCTCCCCCTCCCCCGCTTTTTTTTTTAACTTTGGTTTTGTAATTTCAAACTCAAATGCCGCGTACAAAGTACTTTTTGTACAAGTGAAAATGAATTTTGTAATCCTGCAGTCGAGGACCCATCGTCCTTCTCCGTCCCAGCAATTTATAAAGTACTCTAACCTGCAAAACGGCAAATATTGCGAAATTTCGTCTGCTTTCGTGCAAGTTGTACCAATTATGATACGTCCTCTTCTCGCACGCACATAGATACACACAAAACCTATACAGACATGGGGACGCGAGAATTGGCGGCCGTTTAAATTGTAATTGCCGCGACTGACTTCGCGTCTCCATGAGTCTCTTCGGACGACGTTGATCTCCGAGGGTATAATTTTCTTTTGCGTGTGTGCGCGAATGTAACGATGCTCGCTTACTTATCGAAGAGTGGAATAACAAATTGAACCGAGTTGGATCCGCGTGTTGTACACGCCTGCGGAGCTGGAAAAGTTGCATTATTTTCCGAGTTTGTGCGCGTGATTCGTCAGTTTTTCTTTTTTTTCATCCTGAAAGAGAGAAGACTACTCCAACAGCACTTTGCACCAGAGAAGTTGATTCATCGCTGTACGTACGGGGAAATTCTTGCGGGGTTTTTTTCTTTTTCGTCGTTTGGATGGACATGAGTCACCAAACTGGGTCCCTGCCCGGGTATTCCGGTGGCATGGATTATTTTTTATCGTGGCATCGTTAGCTTTGCATTTTTATCACGTTTGTACGAAACGAAGAAATAGTACTTTTCGTATCTGGTGATATATGTCTCCAGGGCAAGAGAGACTGAATTTTTTTGATTTTGAGGGTGCAGTAAGTGTCCAAAGGTTGAAAAAAAGCCCTAGTCTATTTTTTTCGATTTTCTCACGATTACAAGTGAATTTTATTTTCACCAAAAGCCATACAAAATTTCGGGAGGGATTGCTACATGTTGTCGATCCACGTGGTTCAGATTTTTTTCGAAAAAATTCAATTTTTAACAAATTTTAGTTCACTTATGTTTAAGTGGAAAAATCGAGCGAAAAAAACACGTGAAATGTGTTGAACACGTGTTTTTCGAAAAATCCCAATCGAATAGGTATATATTACATTTACGAAGTTATCGAAAAACTCGGCTACGATGATATGTGGGTTATAGACGGATAAAGCCATAGGCCGATGTAGGCCATAGCTGTCGTCTTATAAATAATGCGTATACGAACGGTAAGCAGAGCAGGAAATTCGAATTACAAAAAAAAAAAAAAAAAAGCTTTATCTCCGCGTTCTTTCTATAAATAGACGATGCTTCACTTTTCGTCAGCGTTGCCACAATACGTACAGGCACGCATTAAAGATGACTGAAATCACGAGCGGCAGTATTTACATCGGCCACTTTATTTCCAAAGGACTCCCCGCGTAATCTCGTATCTGTTTCGTGGAAGGAAAAAAAAAACACGCTTGGAAAGACGGTGCCTTATCTTTTGTTGTTTTGTTGGTGTATCGTCAACGTTTGAACGTTTGAAGATGAGATGATTTTTGACTGTCCACCGGTAGCGCGACTACGAGTCGGATGCTTGAGGAAAAATCGTACCTACTTTCGTCAGATTCAACGATGTGGCGTGAGATTTTTTACCTAAAGAACACGAAATGCAAGGGTATTGTGGGCATGCACTATCGATAAATACCACGTGGTAAAAAAAACGTCATATACGAAAGGAAAAACGTGTAAATAATGGAAGTCATCTTATTGTACATTATTGATGGATTAACAATTTGAGGAAAGTAGTTAATTGAGGTAAACTAAAAATTTTTAAAAATGTTTGAGTAAATACTAAATGTGTGATTGTTGCTGCCAACTCGTCGGTTTGTTTTATAGCTTCTGAAATAATTTCTTACCAAATATTCGACCCTTAAATGGTACACAAGCGATTTCGTAATATAAACAAAATTATTGTCACGCTATGTAAATTTAGATTTTTCAATATTTGTATTACATATATTTGTTAATTGAAGTCTTACCTTTAAGGTTAAGAACTTTTAATGCATCCCTGAATTTTCTGAAACTGACTCATCGTTGAGTATCAGTGGAGTTAAGTAAAAGTTGATGACTAACACAGTTGCTCTTGATTATTAAAAAAAATCAAGTAAAAAAATATGTACATACAAATATTTGATATACTCGCTTGTACGACGTAGTTGGATATCTTGTGTCGAATTTCGATCTAATAATGTAATAGCCAAAAATAGAAATTATCAGAGTAAAGCTTAACGAGCGCTACTGTGTGTTATTATCATTTCTATGTACATTTGTGATATGGAATAGCTGATCTGTTTTTTCTCTCTTTGTTCGCGTACATCATATACGTCATTTGAGTGCCGAGAAAACTTTATGAGAAGTGATTATGTAACTTTTTACGTTGTATACGTCGTGGTCCACCACGTGTGCACCAGAAATATTAAAACTTGGTACCGTATTTCTTTCTACTCGCCTTTGATTTTTTCCGATGGCTAAGCTGCACGGATTTTTATCCCTCCACGAAAATTCGTTGCAGATCAATTTCCGCATGTTTACTCTATGTGTATACGGTGAAGGTGAAATATTAAATGTTAATGACACCTGCGCATTTTATTTGAAAAATCCGTACACTGAGTCTGTGAATATTGTCCAAATGATCTTCATTTGCGTGAAAATACAAAATAATTTTCTGGTGTTTTCAATGACATTGCATAGAAAAATAAACGGTTTTTTGAAGCTCGAGTTATTTTTTTCAGTTACAAAAAAAAAAGTTAAATACTTGAATTGCGTACTAAACATAATTAAACTATTCAAAGTGAGTTATAATTTACTTAGAATATTTTAGTGAAACAACTTATCCTAGTCTCACTGAAATAAGCACAGTTGCAGTCCAATGGTGAAAACCAACGCAAACTACTTGTCTTTACAAACAAAGTTTCAAGATTTATTTCAAACCATATTAAAACTGTATCAATAATATAGAAGACACTTTTTTTTAAACAAAAGAAACAACAATCTTCTAACGAGAACAGTCAAACTCACTCTTTAGATTCGGCGTATTTTTTACGTACTTTTACAGCTTCTTTCATTGGACTAACCTTTTTTTAAATTTGCAATCCAAAATACAACTATGTGTCTTGTACCTTTTTTCTGTCAGACAG